CTCCCTCTCGGGTTCGGGGCTCGGTGCGCGTGGCCGGCCGGGCTTGGCTTGCGGGCGACCGCGGAGTGCGGCCCGGCCCGGCCCCGCGGGTTCTGCGGGGAAAGGATTGTTTTTGGGAGTGGCGCTTATTAGTCGGCACTGCCCTAGTTTAAAGCCCCGCCTTTGGGGTTTTCTGCACAGATTGCAGCTTTCTGCTGGGATTTTGGAATGTCACGGTGTTTCAGTGCTGGGTGTCAGAGGTGAACCATGGCGAGGTCGTGGGGAGCCCCTGCAGCACCTGCTGGGCGATGGCAGAGGAGGCTGTGTCTGGGGGTGGGACGGAGAAACGAAGCGTGACTGAGATCCTGTTTGGCTATTCTGCTGAAGTTGTCATGTTTCTGTTCAGTACACCAGTTCACACAGCAAGTTGATAAACCCAGTTGTAGTATTTGGTGATGCAAGGGGTTTGGGTGACAAATAGACCCGGGGTGATCTGGTTTGGCTAAGAATGTTTGGGATATCCCAAGCATCTGTCTCCAACGTATCACCCTTGGCAGGCTCTTCTTTTTCTCTGTTGCAAATAATCTAGTAGGTTAATAATGCTGGGGTAGCACAGGCCTGAAACCGAGAAGTGTTTTCAAAAGAGCAAAGGTCCAGGCGGGCAGGTAGGTGGGGTAGGAGAATCGCCCTTGAGAACGAGGTGCCTGAACGGATTCTTCGTTTTTCTGTAATGCCTTAGAAAGAAAGATAGCCATAGAGGATGCCATCAGTAAGGTTTGTGGCTCGAATTTTCGTCAAGCACATTTTAGCGGAAACAGTATCATATAAAGCAGTCTTATAATCATTCCTATGAATCGTTTGGTGTATCTTGAATTTTAATAGCTGGGGTCTATTTTAAATGGACCACATATAATTGTGTTCTGCTTTATCTTGGAGACAGCCCTGAGTCATGCTTTCTAGAAGTTCTGCGAGCTCATGTGTCTGTGAGCGCTGGGATATCCTTTACCTAGTTCTTCCTATCGCAGGCAGCCGTTGCGGGAACTCCTGGGGAAGGAGGGCCTGGGCAATTGGGAGCACAGACTGAACTCCGTGTTTGCCACTGTGCCTGACTTCGATACTCAAATTTTGTTTGTGCTTCCAAGAGTAAAGAGCGATTTATTCAGGTTCTCATTTACTCATAGCTAGCCCTTCTCTGCTGGGAGGCAGCACAGTGACTTCAGAATTCCATTCCTCATCACTGCCCTGCCAGCTAGTTTTACCTATGTTGTGTTTAGTTCTGGGAAGGTCATAATTGCCCATTTTATGTGGAAACTAAGGGGAAGTGGAATTTTATGGCTTTATATTTTTGTACACTGACAACACTTTAACTGGAGAGTGTGTGTATTCTTCTGTTTTGATCCTTTAGAAAACTTATAATTTCTTGTAAGACTTTCTGCTTTCTGCCTTCATCTCCTTTTTTCTAGCCCACATGGTTGAGAGAGGGGGAGAAAGAGAAAAAAAGTCCATTTCTGGTTTAGTTATCGGTAATTTAGTTTTATAATTCTATTATCCTGGTGTGCTTGGCAGCTTGTGCTGGCCTGTGTGTGGTTGTTAACTCATATGACTCCTTTAGATGCCATTGAACCAACTATTATAAAAAATATTTCACTTTCAAACTCCCATGTTTCCAAGAACAGAGAAACTTAGTACAAAGGCAATTTGGAAGGTAAGTATAGATGGAGAGAATTTACTGAGTCCTTGTTTTGGGATACCAGGTCCAGAGATCCCTGTAGAAAAGCACTTGAAAGGGCTACTCAGAAACCCTGGGAAGGAAGCGATTACTGTTAATTACTCCTTAGCATTACAGCGTGTAGACTATTGCATGGGAGTAGGACTTTTGACCTGGGGAGCCTCAGTCTGTAGCGTAAGAAAGTCTAGAATATTTGTGTTAATTTATCGTAGCCCCTAGTGCCACTTTGCTGTGCTAAGAAGGATGCCACTGGGGTTCTCACATGGTTTTAAGCAGTTAGCTTACTGAATTGTGCATTCTTCAGATTTGCTAGGTCAGTAAGTTCATAATTTCTTTCAGCCTCCTAGAGATTCTTCAGGATTTGTTTTTCTTAACTACCTTCTCACATGCTATTCATTTATACACTAGCTACAATAACCTTAGAAGCTTAGTCTTTAGGATATGAGTTTTATGTGTATCAAAGGTCAGATATTTTCAGGTGAACTGATTTTACAAAGTCAGAAAGCCTTTCTTTGAACTTTATAGTTGTTGTTTGGTTGCAGGATCTTTAGTGAGGGAAATACTTTTAAAGGAATTTTATGAGGACTGTCTCACAGATTTTATTAAAAAGTATTTCTTTACCTTCCCCTCAAGTAAAACAGGCCTGTTTGATGCCCATTTGATGGCCTTCTGTTGCCTGGCTTGTGGTTATTTAAACTTCTCATTAAGTCCTCCACTGCAGATTGTGCCGGATGGGAGAGAAGATGAAAAGGAATTGAATTGTTAGCACCCTGGGAAGGGTTCAGTGGGAGAGACTAAAGCTGTTCTGGAAAGTCTTCTCGGCTGTTTGTTACTGCATCCATGTCTGAGATGTCCCTCATAGTTATCAGCTCAGAACCTGGCTGTTGGATAAGCAAGAATCTTGCCCCTCCCTGTCTCTAGGATTCTTGTAGAGATGCTCCACTGCAGCAGATGTTTACAAGCAAGGCGCAGAGATCATTTTTAAATGAATCAAGAGTACATTTTTCCCTTTTTGAGTTTATTAGTGAATAATTTATTATTATTATTTTTTTAGGTAGTTTAGTTATATTGGAAATGACTAGCAGAGACTGTCTCATTTTATTTTGATGTATTTTACATACAAGGCCTTGAGGTGCTTTTTAGGAAACCTGAGCTTGGATCACGGAGCTAGCTTCATAGTAAGGTACAACCAGGCCCAAGTGCCTCAGCCTCCAACCCCCACACACGAAGGGAGGGAGAGAGGGAGGGAGGGAGGGAGGAAAAAAGGAAGGAAGGAAAGAAGGGAGGGAGGGAACACATACATTTCCATGACCGCTTTCCTAAATTATTAAGCTTGAGGAACGTTATATGTTTGTAGCCAGACCTTGGCTTTTGCTATGGAAGAGATTCAGAAACATCTAATTTTTTGCTTGTTTGTTTTAATGTTTGCACAAGAAGTTATCTTGTTTTGATTTAGAAGTGAAGACATAAACATGAAAGGTTAGTCCTGGCATAAGAGTGGTGACATTGCTGGGCGGTGGTGGCACACGCCTTTATTTAATCCCAGCACTCGGGAGGCAGAGGCAGGCAGATCTCTGTGAGTTTGAGGCCAGCCTGGTTTCCAAAGCAAGTTCCAGGAAAGGCGCAAAGCTACACAGAGAAACCCTGTCTCGAAAAACAAAAAAAAAAAAAACAAACAACAACAACAACAAAAAATCCAGCGCGGTGACATTGCTGATTTTCTTAGGTTTTGGGCTTGCATTCCTCATGAGCCATTTGAATGTTCATGAACCTTCCTGTTGCTTAAGATGGGACAGCAGCCATCAGTCAGTCACACTACTGAGTAGGTTCTTGCCATTTTTTATTTAGTGGTGGAAATTTGTACAGACTCATTATAACTAGTTAGTTAGCCTAAGTTTTTGTAAAATTGTAAATAAAGTGCCAGGTGGATGGAGTTAATAGTTGACTATAGGGAGTACAAAGTTGCTTTCACTCTCTTGTTTTTTTGTATTTTGTTCTTTGAATTTCTACTATAGGAGGGGCGTTTTGGAAAAATCTAGACTAGGAGTCAGAAAACACAAGTTCTTGTTCAGGTGTTCCTCCCTCTTTATCTTAAAACTAAACAGGACTGTGCTCCCCAGCAGAAAGACTCTAGAACACATCTCAGGCTGCACCTGTCCCACTCGGCCAGCTCTTCTCTCAGCCCTGCGTTTTCCCACTTGGAGTCTAGGTCTCTTCCTCCCGAGGGCTCCACCAGTCCGTTCTTAGTATAGAGCAGTTTAGGATTATATTGTGGACTTCAGTTGTTGCATGTTGCCTTCCTTCATAGATCGAAAGCTCCACGAGGTCAGGGTTACACTATCTTATTCCTGTGTGTCTGTATTTCACATGGGCTCCCCTGCCCCGTGATAGTAGTCCTAAAATAAATTTTGGCTGAATGATTATTGAGACACTGGGGAAAGAATACTTTGAGTTTGGGGAAATGCCTTTTAACTCACTTCATCGTTGATTTGTTGTTATTAGTAATGAAACCAAAAAATTGGTAAAGCTCATTTCTTCCATTTACATCAGATGTGGTTTGTGGAGTAAGTCAGAGAATGAAAAGGTAAGATAGCTCTGGTCTTATGTTTGTTCCATCTCACTAAAGTATGTGGAGGCCTGACTGTCTGTACCCAGCTGCTGAGAGTAAAGAATGACAGCTGACTGAGTCTCCTCTGGTACACATTTTAGCTTGTTTGCTTTGAAGAAATTGTAAAGGTGGAGGAATAGCTCCTGCAGGCTCCCATTTCAGCCCCTGCTGTGCTATGCAAATGTTCTCTACATGCCTGAGTGACCTTTTGAGAAAGAGCCTTTGTGATCTTCTCTAGCCAGGGCTTGTTCTTGTTCTGGAAATGGGGACCAGATTCCACTAAAAATGGGAAAAATGCATCTTCAAAGACCTCATACAAAGCTGGTGCTTTTCCTGGTGAAAGGACTGATGAATCCATGTTTCTTGGCATCTTTGCTAGGTTTTGAAATTTGCTTTGCAGGTTGATTTTGGGAATAGAGTGTGTGAGAGGGAACTGATGAAGGCAGTTCAGTAGATGGGGAACTGTGGCGTGCCCTTGAATTGGAGATAAAAGCAGATTGAAGCCGGCATCATTAGTACAGGGGCATTTGCCAGTGGCCTAAGCCTGGCTCTCGATGGCGTTGGCTGAGGGACCCTCAGCCAGGTCTGTAAGGTTCTTTTTGTACCAAATTGTGCCTTAACAGTGTGGCATTTAAATTGGTTTCTGTCTGTTTTGATGAATATACAAAGAGAAATACTTCATTATTAAGCCCGATTTGTTTTTTTACATTATAAGAAAATAATATTCTGGTGTTTTTCCCTGGGAAAGTGACCATTACTTTTGAAACTCATGATTTTAAATGCTTTCTGATATGCTTAGTTTATACTACTGGCATGCTGATCCAAAAGAACCCCCCACCCCCACCCCCACCCCCGTCCCTTCTCTTAAATGACTTTTTTGATGTAAAGCATCTTATAGGTCTGAATCAATGTAAAGTTGTAGACCTAATCATAATGTTCTCTGAAAATCTAAAAGTTACATCTTCAGAGAAGAGTGGCAGAATTTGTCAGATTTTTTATTACATGTGGTGCGTGTGACTGTGTGTGTGGAGGTCGGAGGACAACTTGTGGAAGTCAGTTTTGTCTTTCCACCATGAGGGTCCCAGGGATCAAACTCAGGTTTCCAGGTAAGCAGCTTTACCTGCTGGTCCATCTTGCCAGCCGAGAGTGAGAGACTGAATGATCCTTTCCTTTCTCCAAGTATAGGCTAGTTCTTTGTGCCCAGTGGGCTCCAGAGGTAAGGACACAGCATGGCATAGCTTTCTTCCCCACACCTTTGGCCCGATGTAGGTTCTAGTCTTTGTAAAGTTTGATCTGTTACCTTGGGCAGAATAGCCTTTGTTCTCCATTGTCATAGTTATGTGTTTGTTTTTCTTCTTCCAGAGTCTTCTGGCTCCTGGGCTCCTGAAGACGCAGTGCTGGAGCAGATGGATAATGGAGACTGGGGCTATATGGTGAGTGGTTCTTGCACTTTGAAGGCTGGCAAATGATTTTGATGTCTTTCTCAGTTGCACATTCATAGGCTTATCTTACATGGATGAAAACTATGAATTTGTGCAGCTCCATCTAATTTGTCTAGATGTATTTGGGGTGAGCCTTTTTATTTGGTTTGATGTTTTAGTGAAAGACTCAATGCATATTCTCCAAATAGCTTAAAATTTTATTTTATTTTAATTATGTGTGGTGAAGCAGTGTTCTTGGAGGCCAGAAGAGGGCGTATGATTCTTGGAGCTGCTATGGGCCACCTAGACATGGGTACTGGAAATGGAACTTAGGTCCACTGAGTTACATTGCTTTTAACTCCTGGCATCTCTCTACCCCCTAGTAACTATTTATAATCACTAATGTCAGGTAGACCGTGATGCTTTGGTCTTTGGTGTATATTACTTTTTAAATTCTCTGTTCATAGACTGGAATGTCCAAAGGACTGGGGAGAATGGAATGAAGAATTCTTTGTTGCATGTAGTAAAGGGATTAATAGGTAGAAGGAGTTTCTTCTCACATGCAGTTTTCACATGTGTCTATGTCTCCCTATTTCCTTCTTCATCTGGTAAGAAATGCTTCACTTTCTTAGAACCTGAAGACCGTGTTTGATTTTTTTTTTTCTTAAATAGGATTTCTAAAGCTGGAGGTGTGTTATTTTGAGAAGCTTCCTTCTTAGAATTAAAGGTCAGATTGCAGCATTAATGTTATAAAAGTGAATACACAATCAGATTATGACATTTTGAAGCTGCTACCAGCCCTTGGGTATATGGTAGCTTAGGGGTAGACATAGGTTAGATTGTATCCACCAAACCTTATATATTTTAATTTAGTTTTGGGAACTTATTTCCTGGGCATGATGGCTCAGGCCTGTAATATCAGCACCTGGGAGGTAAAAGCAGGAGGTTTGTGAGGTTTGGGCCTGCTTTATCTTCACAGTAAGATGCTATCTCAACAACAACAAAAACAAAAACCAGAAAAGAAAAAGAAATTGTTGCTTCCATGAAGAAAATTACCAAGATTAATTCTAAACAAAGTTTTGTCTTTAAGATACATTTTGGCATTGGAGAGATGGCTCAGCAGTTGAGAGCACTTATACTCTTGCAGAGGACCTGGGTTTGATTCCCAGCATCTAGCCTGTGGCTCACAGCCACCTGTTACTCCATTTCCTAGACCCGTCCATACCTTTGGCCTGCATGAGGTGCACATACACACATGCAGGCCAACACTCACACACATAAAATAAATACATAAATAAATACATACACCGATTTTGTAGCTGGGTGTGATGGTGCACACCTGTGATCTTAGGATTGAGGCAGAGGTAGGAGGACCAGAAATTCTAGACCACCCTTAGCTACACAGTGAATATGAGGCCAGCCTAAGTTATGTGAAACTTTGTATAAAAAAAAAAAAAATACATGTCTCCTTTGAGGAGAAAAACCCAAAGAAGTCCCAGAGTTAATTGTTGCTACATTATCAGATTATTTTTATTCTAGCTTCTGTTAAATTTTTAAAAAATCTTAAGGTCATGTCAAATGTGGTGGCACATATCTTTAATCCCACTAGGGAGGTAGAGGCAGGCAGATCTAACCCAAAACCTCTACAGAGTCTGGACTTGACTGTATGATACTAAAGGTCACACCTGGCAGAAGTAGAGTAACTTTTAAAAGATTGGATTTATGTGATTTGAGAGCAAATGTTGAAGCCCTTCTCCTGGGTGAGTTTTATTATTGAAAGTAAAGCCATTTTACACCCTATAACTGCCAGATATATTATAGCTTGAAGGGATCTGTTTTGGTTTTTTTTTTGGAGCTGAGGAGCAAACCCAGGGCCTTGCGCTTGCTAGGCAAGTGTTCTACCACTGAGCTAAATCCCCAACAGGCATGAAGGGATCTTATGCTTGCTTATTGGTGTTTATTTTCTTAATTTGTTGAAGTTAAGATTTTAAGGTTTCAAGTGACTGATTGTTTTTTTTAATTTCAGATGACTGACCCAGTCACGTTGAATGTAGGTGGACACTTGTACACAACGTCCCTTACCACATTGACACGTTACCCAGATTCCATGCTTGGAGCTATGTTTGGGGGGGACTTCCCCACAGCCCGAGACCCTCAAGGCAATTACTTCATTGATCGAGATGGACCTCTTTTCCGTTATGTCCTCAACTTCTTACGAACTTCAGAATTGACCCTCCCCTTGGATTTTAAGGAATTTGATCTGCTTCGGAAAGAAGCTGATTTTTACCAGATTGAACCCTTAATTCAGTGTCTCAATGACCCTAAGCCATTGTATCCTATGGATACTTTTGAAGAAGTTGTAGAGCTGTCTAGTACTCGGAAGCTTTCTAAATATTCCAATCCAGTGGCTGTCATCATAACTCAATTAACCATCACCACCAAGGTCCATTCCTTACTAGAAGGCATCTCAAATTATTTCACCAAGTGGAATAAGCACATGATGGACACGAGAGACTGCCAGGTTTCCTTCACCTTTGGACCATGCGATTATCACCAGGAAGTCTCTCTCCGGGTCCACCTGATGGAATACATTACAAAGCAAGGTTTCACTATCCGAAATACTCGGGTGCATCACATGAGCGAGCGGGCCAATGAGAACACAGTAGAGCACAACTGGACTTTCTGTAGACTGGCCCGGAAGACAGATGACTGATCACTAACCCTCAGGAGAACTTCCTGTAAGCTCATGTTTTCTTGGGACATGGAAGAGACTGTTACTGTTTTTTAAATCATAGTGTACCCCCCCTTTTTAATATTTGTATTTATTTGAAGGCATTGAGGACCAGAAAGAAGTTCCATGTGTGAGCAGTCTTCTCCCTGTTTTGTTCCCAAGTATGCATGTGCCTGTTCAGAGTCTCCAGACACCTTTTTTTTTTTAAAGAGATCTGAAAATCATTATGATATATAATCTACCCTTAACAGTGCTAAAATGATTTCTGATAATGTGGTCCCTAACTCAACTGGAAGGCTAAAAATACAGTAATGAAAGATTAAGCAGAGTATTCATGATGTCTTTGAGAAAAATCAGAATATCATGTAGGGTGACCTCATTTCCAGACCAGTAGGCAGCAGTATATTAAAGGAAACCTGGCCAGTCATCTGCTGGTACTTGTTAAGGACCGCTTCCTACAGTTTGACAACTGTTTCTTTCTATGCATATAAATCAAGCAACCAAATATCTGTAGCCATTGAAATGTCTGACTAGAAATATTTATATTGGATTCTCAATACAGAATGTCCCTGTGGTAGAAACCTTATGCCTGGTACAGTTTCATTCCCAAGTGTACTGTCTACCAGGAAAGAGAAATCTAATAAAAAATGGAGTATGAACATTAAGGGTTGTATTTATTGCTATGTAAGGGGAAAATCATATTCTTTGTCAAAAGTATGCATTGTTTATGTCTCAATTAAACTGCTTATAGAACATTTGTAATAGAGTTGACAGGACTCAGTAGAACCTTAGATTTGAGTTCATAAAGCCAGCTGTGTTACCAGAGATAAACAGTTTTGTCTTTTCAGATCAGATTTACAGTGACTATTACAGGGTTTTAGCTGCCACAGCTATGAATATGACTCACTCCAGCCTGTGCTGCACATGGGGACAAAATGACTCCAGCGATTCTATTCTCATGTATTGTGGTAGCTGCAAATGTATGTTTTTATCAAGCTTAAGTTCAACTCTGAGAAGAAATAAATTGCAGTGAAGGATTGGAAACACTTGGGAAAATGTATGTACATTTGCTTATTTCATGGTCGAGTTGATGTGATTCTGTTACTCATTGGAAGGAGTGTGTTAATTATGGTGAGACTTTCTAGTTTGTGAACATCACATAACAACTTCCCTGTTTTAAGGGAATTGTGGACTTCTGTGTTTTGGCCCTAGGGCAGACAAGACACTTTTCCTCTTCTCTGAGACTATTCTAAGATTCTCCCTTTGAAAGGAAGATGAAAATATTTACTTACGTGTCTCTGAAAATTTAAGATTGCCAAACTACCACCTCTTCTCCCGCACACATACAAGAAACCCATGATTACCTCATCTTCAAACTAGGATACTTCATTGTTATTGACCGGTTGCTATAGTTTCAGTATATTGATGAACTGGAGAGAAGTTGTTACTGTTTGGAACATTTGCTCCTATTGTAAATTGATGTATGGTTTCCTAAGTAAAGATCCAAATTGGTCATGTGCCATGGAGCTAGCTGAAGTCAATATGAAGAATTGATTTGGTTTCAGAACTATTGTGGAAGGCTCTGGGTTAGAGCACTTGCTGCTCTTGCATAGGACTGGAATTTGTTGCCCAGCACCCACATCAGTGGCTCACAACTGCCTGTAACCCTAGCTCTAGGCAGATCTGGCACCACTGGCTTACACACACACACACACACTATATATATATATATATATATATATATATATATATATATGCATATATATATGCATATATATGTTTAAAGTTGTGGAAGTAGGAGTAATACTAGTTTCAAGTTTGGGAAAAAGAAAAATTACTGAGTTCTCTTCCTTGTCCCCATTCTCCCAAAAGGGAAGTTTGCTGTTGGCAAGTTTTCTCTGGTTCACTAATTATTAGCAGGTAAATGATTGCTTCTATGAATAAAAGCAGCTAGCAAGATTTTTAAGTTTTGTTTGTTTTTTTCCCTCAGTCCTAAGGATTGACCAGGGTCTTGTTCATGTTAGGTAAGTGCTCATCACTTAGCTGTATTTCATGCCATAACTGTTGTGTAGTTGTTGCGTAGTTGAAATGAAATGAAATGAAAATGAATGAAATGAAAATGAAAATGAAATGAAAAATGTAGTTTGGTTATATTTGATTATATTGAGATGATTCTGCCTCTTTATGAAATCTTAAATAATTTTTACTGTGGAAGAGTTGATTTTAAAAAATGATATGTTGCATTCTGAGCCTTTATATTTTATTTAGATTATAGCACATCCAGGTAGCTTTGAAAGGCTGCATATGTGTTCCTGTAAACCTGAGGGTAAATGCTAAAGGTAAGTTGTGGGCCACAGGGGTAGCTCAGTGGTAGAGTGCTTGCTGACATCCATCAGACTTTTTGATCCCAGCATACCCTTGATAAATAAACAACATAAGTAGTGACTAATGAGTTTATTGGTTTCTGCTATTTTTAAAGGAAAATTCTAGCATTTAACCAAATACATACTACAAATAGACAAAGGGAAATTTCAGATATACTCAGTAGAATAATGTGATGAACATTCATTCACGTACCAGCTCACTAAGAGTTGAGGAGCTAGCCACTCTGCCTTCGCTTTCACTTTCAATCTTTACATGTATGCGTAGAACCACCATAGTGCTTCTTGATCCTGAGTACTGTTGGCTTTTCATAGCTTGGGTCTCCAGCTTTGTAGCAGCGGTCGGATATATTTCTCATAGGCAGGGTTCTCCTGTGTTTACAGGAATCACATTATTAGAAGAACACTTCTAGAATTAATAACTTCACTTTCAAATTAAGTACTTCATGTTAAAAGAGTAATATTACCTAAGATTCTTTTTTGTTTTGTTTTTCGAGACAGAGTTTCTCTGTGTAACAGCTTTGACTATCCTGGAACTCACTTTGTACACCAAGATGGCCTCGAACTTACAGAGATCCACCTCCATGCCTTCCAAGTGCTGGGATTACAGGTGTGTGCCACCACCACCTGGCAATTATCCAAGATTCTTAATTTTTCATATTATTTTTAAAATTCACATTGTGTGAACATATGGTAAACACTTTTCCAAAAAGCCTCCTTTCTCAGATTTTAAACTGCATGCAGGTGGCTAATTATAAGAAAAACCTACAGCTTTTTCTTTGTTTTTGGAATTTAATACAAATAAAAGCCTTCAGTATTTGAGGCTCTTTGAAACTGAACATGAACCACAAAGCAGGCAACCAGAAAGAATCAGGTAGGTGATATTCTGTGTGTGAATAGGCTTTCCCATCATCCTCTACTGCAGCATCTGAGTTCTTTTCTTCATAGCTAAACTTCAGTCTTCCATACTATTTTCTTGTTTATTTCCTTTTCTTTTACAGTAAAACTATAAGGTCCTGGGAGCTGGAGAGATGGCTCAGAGGTTAAGAGCACTAGAGTTCAATTCCCAGCAACCACATGGTGACTCACTACCATCTGTAATGAGATCTGGTGCTCTCTTCTGGTTCACAGGCATACATGCACGCAGAGCACTGTATATGTAATAAATAAATCTTAAACAAAACAAAACAAAAATCCTAAGGTCCTTAACACAGGTCTACACCTTTGTTCTCCACCATTTCTTCAATACTAGCACATCATTATTGCACAATAAATACTCTTTGAATGATGGAATGAATCAGAATGTTTAACACTTCTCAATATTCCTTGGGCATGTTTTTACAATATAGTTACTGAGAGATTAGGATTCTTGCTGGGGTGTGATGATGTACACATGTAATCCTGGCATTTGGGAGTTAGGAGTTCAAGGCCAGCCTAGGCTACACAAGACCCTTAAACACTAAAAAAAGGGGTTTCTTGGTTTGACCCCCGATGATTCCTTCTTGCTTCCTTAGGGAATCACTTGGACATGATTTCATGTGAAGAGGGAGAATCTTCTGTGGCAGTTTTCTAGATCAGTCAAAGCCAAAAGCACATGTCATCCTGTTTAGGGAGAAAGCTCAGCATAGCCTGCTCCAGACAGGAGAGGCTCCTGTGGCACTAAGACATACAGCCTAGCACATAGCGCTTTACTTCCAGCATAAGATCACCAGTGAGAAATATTCTTACTTGTACTTTTGTGTCCACAGGGTACAACATAGCCTGCTGTTTTACCTGTAATGTGCCTTTTTCTATTAAAATGTCTGCTGCACTTCAGACTATGGCAGATCAAAAAATAGGCTTTAAAAATGTTGGTGCTTTTCAAAGGATCTGAAAGTATAATCATGTGGCTATGTATTAGCAGTCAACCAAGTATCATTTTGACCAAGTGGGAGTCAAAGTCATCTGTAACCTCACATTTCTAAACTGCCATTCATGAAAGAGCCACACTGCTGCACCTGTCACTTAACAAGGTAACATAAGGCTGGCTATGAGTATTTGTGGTGTCTGGATGCACTGGCTGCTCTTGTATCATGTAGGTCATCCTTGTTCAAATAGAAGGAAGTAGAGACTAAAGAACAGGATGAAGTATGTCAGCATTTTACAGAATCAGTACGATGGGTCAGTCATATCTACAAACCTGCTATGGTTTCCAGATTAAAGTGTTTAAGAACGAACAAAAACAAGATGGTCTACTACAGTCTTTGGTGACCATGAGGAATCTAGGGGAGTGGAATGTTGCCTGGGTTGTTAATAAAACAGGTCTGAGCTATGTGTCTCAGCATTCTGACAGGTGAACAGGGAGAGGCATGATGGTTCTATGGAATACCAAAGGACATAATTCTCTCTTGAGACCATGGGAAGCAGGCTGGATTGGGAAGGATTGCTTTGCTTTTATGCCAGGATTTAAACATTAGCAAGGACAGAGGAATAATCATTAGAAAAGTAATGTGCTAGAAGTAGGCTAACTATAGGAGCAGTGAATGTGTAGGTAAATTGTTTATATTTCCTTGAGCTAAAACAATGTTATCTTGTGGATGGCACTTGACTGAAATGGACTGGCCTGTCTGGCAGCCGTTCTGAGGTTATAACTTTAGGTGACAATGTTAAGCTAAGCTCTGACGTATGACAGAATACGGACTGTCAAGAGCAAGTCTGGCTAAGTGCGAGTGTTGGTCACCTCTTTCTTAAGACACCTTCTGAAGCTGGACTAAATAGAAAGTTTTTCCATCTGAAAGACATTTGTTTTTAAAATCGAATATACCCAACACTGTGTGTGCCTATAGATAGATAGGTCCCTTGTTGGGATCATCTGTGTCAAATCTGCTCTTCAGGATGGGCTCCCTAAATTCGAAGTACAGTACTACTGGTTGATGTTCTTAACTTTGTCCAGTGAGGCTGGGATAACTGGAATTCTCGTATTCCATCCAGAACAGTCTTATCCCCATCCCCCTCATAATGTATGTACTTTTCCTGCCCACATATGGCAGTACCTCAAATTTCCTGTTACCTCTGATCCACTTTTATTTACATAAAATGGAGCTAAAAGGCTGAAAATAAAATGGTTTACCACTGATATGATTTATCTTAGTTCTGTTAATGTAAAAGCCAGCTTGCTGCTCTATGTGTGTGCCTTTGGGTATGTCAAGCCATGATTTAGAAATGAGCCTTTCTCTTAATGCCCTTTGCACATTCTGAACTGTGCATTTTGCTGATTTCAGTTCCTGCCAAGTCGCACCCCTGGTTTCTTTTATGTACTCCCTAAAAGTATTTTAAACAGATGCTCTGTGTTAAGTGATTTTCAACCTAAGCGGAATTGATTAAAATGGGAAACATGGAGATGTATTTACTGCTTGTTCTCTGCTGTTTTACATAATTTATAATGGTTTTCACTCAACTACCTGAGTATTGCCTGGTGACTTCTGAGCCCACTCAAATAGACGTTCGTAGACATGTCCATCATAACAGCCGAGTGCAGAATTTAAACAATGATCCGTGAAGTCAAAAGCATCAGTTAACAAGATCGCATCTTTCCTGAGAGAGGAGACAAATTGTGAGCATTTCACCTTATTGATCCACAGGAAATATTAGAAGTTGCATCATTATCTGCTGTTTGAATAATTCATCTTTATTATTTGGGTTTTAATTTTTTTTAAACTTCTTTTTTTTTTTTAACTTTATTTGTATTTTATGTACATTGGTATTTTGCTCCCATGTATGTCTGTGTGAGGGTCCTGAATCCTCTGGAACAGGAGTCAAAGACAACTGTGAGCTGCCATGTGGGTGCTGGGAATTGAATCTGTGTCCTTTGGAAGAGCAGCCAGTGCTCTTAACTGCTGAGCTATCTCTACAGCCCTGTGGGTTTTACTTTTATTAGTTATATATGCACAGAATAAAGAATCATAGAGTTCTTTAAGGCTTGTTATTAAAAAAAATAGGGCTTACCTACTGGGCATAAAGTCCAGTATCCAGTTCCCAACATTGGAAAAAAATAAATGAAAAAAAAAAAAATCAGCCTATCTAGCAGTGCGCTGGTTAGGGTGTTTTTTTTGTTTAATTTATTTATTTTTTTTTTAATTTTTTTTTTTTTTAATCAACTTGACACA